ACTGATGACTCCAACTTTTTTTTTTCCTCTACAAGAAAATCGTATTCACTTTGCCGTAATGTAGTGCATCCATACTGTAAAGATAAACCATACCTTCCCCTTTTATATGCACAAAATTAGAGCTGAAACCTGGTAGCACTGAGTGGACGGAGTGGCATATTCTGCTATCTTTCCTTTACTTGTGGTGTTACTGTTCGTGTCTTTAGGTTATTTCTTGTTCCGATGACTAACTTTGTCCTCTATAAGAGTATCTATAAGAATAACATTTGCACCTTCAATTTGCCGGATATTAGAATGGCGATATAAATGTATAAATAAATTCTGAATTTGGTTTTCATTAGTTGCAAGAGATGGCAAGCATTTTTTTCACAACTTGCCCCCTGCTAAATTTTTAGGTGGATGGAAAGACTGCTGTAACATGTAACCCATCTTTAACCCAGTGCTGATGGGTAAAAATGTTTGGCAAGTGGACATTAGAACGGGATTGTTGGCGCAACGGCAGTTTCGCGTTTGCGCCTAGCTTGATCGGTAGTTTGTGAGCGACATTTGGCACCTAAAAGCTTTTATTTTGCTATAATTTATAAAAATGTTATTTTGAAGGTTTACCTTCTTTATAGGTGCCATTGCCTGAAATCTTTACCATATAAATAAAGCCGCTACTACCAATTGGCTTTGCCATCTCTTGTGACTATATATAGCATTTACAGTATTCAAAAGTTGATTACCATTATTTGATAAAAACAGTACTCCTGGATGAATGCAAAGAAGGGCAAGACTTACGACCTGTTAACACCTTGCTGCTAGGTTGCATGTATGTACATAACCATGTCTGTTGTGAACAGCAGCGGGTGGCATCATATCACAACCATTTCCATGCTATTGGCTCATCGAACAGAGCTTTTTATGATAGTTGTGGCTTCACTTATTTGGGAAAGCTTTTAGGTAATAACCCCTAAAGTGAAGGTTACCTTCAATTTTTTTTTTTTTTTTTTTTTTTTTTTTTTTTTTTTTCCCTCTCTCTCTCTCCTGTTATTGGCTAGAGAGTAGCTTTTGGGAAATTTAATTTTGTGGGATTTATGCCTGGTTTTATGCAGGTTCTTGAAGAAAGTTGCTGGGGCAGATCGATTATGCTGTTCTATTTAGATTTACACACAGATGGCTCTATAACGGCTTGGTCACCAAGGAGTGTCCTACATATCACGTGTATGCCCTTTTCCTTGATTTTTGAAGTCTTCATTACTCTTAGTATTTTGGTAACAGTTGTCATCCTCAATAATGAAGGGGATTGATACCAATAGCATTGAAAATTTTCTCATTGAGTTAAATAAAATAAGGAAGTTGGGTGCATGCACTAGGTCCTATGTATTGACTCCTTGATTCACTTCCTGTAGAACCATCTGTATGCAACAGCCAGACTACAAATGATACATAATAATAAACACAACCAGCGAGTTAAATAAATGTAAATTTAGATTTATGGCAGAGAAGCTATAATTAAGTTTACAATTATTCCTTTTGAATTGTTCTTGAAATGAATTGTTGGGCAACTAATCTCAGATTAACCTTAAAACCTTTCCTTTTCTCATTAAGATTGTATTCCCCCTGCTCCCCCAATCATCACAAATTTTCAACTTTTGTGCTTGAAAGAAAAAGTATTGTAGATAAAATCTGACCTTGCTTGACAGTGATAAATGTGGGATAGCTGTATATTATTAAAGTTTAATAATGAAATGCATTTTAATTAGAAAAAATTTGGGTAATGAAATTTAGTGTATACTTGTATACAGAGTTGGGCAAGAGTTGAACAGATTAAGAAATAGTATGTATAATAAGTTAGGTGTTATAATTCTAATGAAGGCTTTTGTGCGCTATATTCAATCAATATAATTGTAATGTCATGAGCTGAAGACTTTGGCTTTGGCTCCTTGGTAAGTTATTTGCTTTCTTACAATATTCCTTGATTTTCAAACCTTAGTATGAGGGCCCAACTCTAAGTATACTTTACTTGAACTGAACTGCTACTGAGGCACAATTTATTTTGGCCTTTGAATACAGGCCTAGATTCTTGGCATTTTGTTGAAGAAAATTGGGGATATCATAGTTCCCTATTGGAATATATGTAAACAATTCTAATGACAGAAACTGCACAATAATCTGTTGGGCAGACCCCTCCACTCTAGCCCATCCACCCATTAACCTTTGAGTTTGTTTTTTTACTAAAGTAGAGTATTTTAATATACATCTTTTTATTCCAGGCTGCCCACAAGACTTTCCGCATTAAGACCAAGTTGGCAAAGAAAATGAAACAGAACAGGCCTATTCCCCCATGGATTAGGAACCGTACTGGAAACAAGATCAGGTAATATATTAAAAATCTTTCTTAAATAAGGTGCATTGTATTTTTTTTTTTTTTTTTTTTTTTTAATCATTTGAAATTTTAAGTAAATTATAAAAAAAAAAAAATACATTCATTTTTATTTCTTTCAGATATAATGCCAAGCGCCGCCACTGGAGGAGGACTAAGCTCAAGCTGTAAGCTGCTGCTGCTTGATTGTCCTTTCATAACTTCTAGTGGAGATGTGTGTTATGGCTAAAGCTAATAAAACACCGGCTACAACTTTTTCTTTTCTTATCCATAGGAAAAGTTGGTGCAAATGAGTTCTAGGTTGCATCATTTTGATTTGTAGTAATGAAAACATTGAAAATTGGCAGTAGACATTTGAAATTTTACTGGTAACAACTTTAGAAGCATTTAATACAGATGTAAAAGGAATTGGAAACCAGGCCTCATAATACAAATGTTGGGTAAAAGTCATTTGCTATTATTAAAAGTTTGGGTTTCTTACTAAAATTTAAAATTTTCTCCATGGTATAAGTGCAAGGAGAAACTAAATATTCCAAGAGTAATTTAAGGGGGTAACGAACCAGACCTTAAAGTTTACGCATGGATGTAAAGTTTAACTAAATTCACAAATTGGTGGAAAATATGGTGAAATTGATATCTAAGAATAAGTAATATTTCAGGACTTACCTTGTTACCTTGTTACCTTTCTTACCTTGTTCATTACATGTATCTTTTATATTTAAGTTTTTCATATTTACACTTGAATGATATTAGAGGTCATGGTTGATTGGCTGAGTGTTGCTTGTAAAGAACCAAGATATAGGACAACTAACCTCCTGTACCTGTTACCAGTTGTCACCAACCATTAACCATTGATAAGGTGACACTTCAGTTAAATTGTCAAAGCTGGATATGGATAGCTGATCCAGCCACTAGTAAGCACACCCATGTAAAGCAAGAGAACCTGGTTAAGGGGGAAAGTCTTCGGGTCCAACTTGATGTGTGGACAGGGCTTGTAGGTCTTTTCAGATGGGTAGGCATGATGGGTGGGGAAAATTTTAGGCACATGTTAAGGTAATGTCACCGAGAGGAAAAGGGGAAACTACTTAATTACTTAGTAGTTTACTTACCTTTTATACATGCTGGTTATGGCCACTTGTTAGGAGAAGTCTCAAGATTTCAACAACTGTCATTGGTATTGCCACGTCTACTTCAATGCTTTGCCCATTATTGCCCCCCAAACTGTTGCTCGTTGTCGTGAGTGGGGCTTAGGAGATGGAGACTAAGACCCAGTGTAGGAGATAGCCCCTACCTTGGGCCTCAGCCTTTGCATCAACTAATTTTGCATAGTCTTTCCTCCTCTCCCTTCCCTTTTCTTTCTCTTTTTCAATCCCCGTGGGAGAGCCATGCTGAAAAAATTGAAAGGCTGGCTTTGTCTTAAGTCATGAATAACCTATGGTAGGCATGGTATTCCCGTTACAATTGCCTAGCCCTTACCCCTTATGGAGACCCTGATGGGTAGAATTTTTTTTTCCTAACTTATTTCACCATGGCCAATAATATTTCATCCTTATTAGGGGCATTAAGGCTTACCCCTTCATCAAATAGCCTATCTAAATTTCATTTCATAGTTTTGACCCCCGCCTCTCCTTTGACCACGGCTCCAAGTACGGATAATAATACACCCTCCTTGATGTCTACTGACAACTCTATTCCTTCTAAACCACCTACCCAGGTTGTTATTCAACCTTCAGGAAGCACCCCTTCCTCTGTCCCAACATTCTCCACTTCATCTCCTACTGCAGTCTTCATGTCTACCCCATCCCCTCTCATTACTTTTATTCATCCTTGTCGTTCTCCCCCCAATACTACCTCACCCCACACCACCCTTTCTACCTCCTGCCCTCATCCTTCTGGTTCCACCTGAGTATTCTCTGGCTCATCCAAGTGGGATAGATTGATTCCCCCTATAGTCCCGTCTCTTCCAACAATGTCTCCAAAAACAAGTAGGCAAAGTTTCCTTTGTCATTTTGAATGTTCAAGACTTGTGACAGTTACATTTAAGTCCCAAGCTCATGCACTATCTGACTGACCTCACTGGCAAACCTATTCCTGCCGAACCTCCCTTCTCTCTTAATAATTGTATTGGAACTTCGTCACCCAGACTGATTATCCTATGTTTGACAAAGACTGGTCAGACTGTGAAAATGACCTACTTGCCATTATAGTGATACACAATCCCTCCCAGAGGACGGCATAAGTCTTACACCAATATTACCAAGATTAACTTCCAGAAACATGACCTCCCCCATGAAATTTATATTGAAGTGTCCTGCCCTGTCCAACCATATCAACCCCTTCGTTGTCAGTCGGAAATGTTGGTATTTTGGCCACTCGTCCAAACACACTTTCCACATCTTGTGCCCTCGATGTTCAACCTGGTCATGACTGTTCAAATTGCCCTGCCTCAGCTTGAATGTGAGGCCAGACAGGAAGCACGGCAATGAAGATTTTTTTCTCTACCTATTCCAAAACAGTCCTTTGCTCTGCTTCCCCCCAACTCAAGATGTCTGCATCTTCCCCAGTACCTCTTTCCTGTACTGTCCTATCTCTACTCCCCCTCTCCCCCAGTCTAATTCCTTTTCCAGTCTAAATCCAGATACTCCAATCTCTACCACTTCTCCAATACCTGCCCCTCCTCCTCACTTTACTTGTTACACCAAACATCCTAAACATTCCACTCTATCTTTGCCTACCACATTCTCTCCTAAACCCTCCTTTTCCTCTGCTCCTCGAACATCTATCCCCTCTTCTCACAAGAGAACCTTTGTTTCTCAGACTTCTCCACCCAACTCGCCTCTAGAAACACTTGAAGACCTCCAAAAATTGTGCTCCCTCACTCACTCTATAATCCCTCTATTCCTATTCCCTCTATATTCAAAGTATTTGCTAAAATCCATTCTCCTCCTCAAGTTCCTCCTACTCCTCGTCCTCCCACTCTTTCTCAACACACTCCATCCTCTCCTCCATGTACACCATTCCCTCTTTGTTCCCCATTATCCTTCTCCCACTGTGATGCTCACATGAATCCCTTTTGCAACAGTGTCGTCCAGATCCCTCCCCTCTTGACACTTGATACTTCACCTTCCCCAGTCCCTTTGTCTCATCCCCTGGATTATTCTCCTGCTACTTCAACCATCTCAACTCGTATTACCTATTGATTATTTCATGATAGCTCTTTTATCAGTTTTCCTTAATGTTCCTATAACTTCCCCAACCACAGATAAACTCCATTTCATTCAGTTGCCCTATGCCCTAAACCTTTCCTTTACTAATCTCCGATTTATTTGCATCCCCTCTTTACCCTTTCCCTTATTATGCTATCCTATAACACATTAAAACCTTTGACATTTAGCACATTTTGTCCTAATCGTTATCTCATTTTTGCCCTTTTCACCCCAGTAGTTCACCATTGTGTTATATAACCATTGATGTCTATCATATTTATTTGTTTCAACCATTAACAGTTAATCATTGCCCATTATTGCCTAATATCAGTAGGCAATTCCTGAAATGACTTGTCACAGTGAATCGAAATTGTCTAGCACTGGGACACAATTCTGTACTGGCGGGTATTGACTGCTTCATTTGGCCATTCATTGACGTGACTGGTGACATTCCTCAGACTTGCTGGTGGTGGCACTGCCTCTCAGGTAGTAGTTGATAATGTGAATCCATTACTATGACTTCAATATTTACCTGGTGTTCCAAAAGTTATTTATGAATAACTAAAACAACTGATAAACAAAATATATCATATTAGATTTGTACATTCGGCATTGTTGCAAAAGACCGCCAATGTCGTTAAGTTTTCAAGGCTTATATTTATATGGTTCTTTTAGAATATTTTGTGATGTGAACACAAATTGGCTTGACTTGTTCCCTTTGACCTGCCAATATTCCATCCTGCTCTGAAGAGACAATTGGCTGAAAGCAAGAACAAAAAGCTATAGGAAATATACTGAACAAGCCAGGTTAAAACTTTATTTCATTTAAGTAGAAACTTGACTACCCTACTTGTTCTGTCATTCAAGAATGGTACACGGAGTTATTTTCCTAGAATTATTATATATATATATATATATATATATATGTAAATGTTAATTTTAATACAGTTTTTATTATTACCAACCAATTTTGCATTAAAACAACTGATTTAAACATTTAAAATAAGTGAAGCAAATTGCTTTAACCTACTCAAAGTCTGATAAGTGACATTTCAAGGGTTTTGATGAATTAGATTTTTATACAATTGCCAGATTACATTTTTTCTTTTGATGCTTCCATGAATCTTGGGTAGTCCCTTTCCATGTCCATTATTTTTCCAATACGGCTTACTGCCACTGTACATCAGAAACTTTGAAAGGGTATGTCTATTTTTTTTGTGTGTATAACCTACAACTGTCTGCAAATGTTCTTGGACTTGGCACATTGGTTAATTCCAGGACTAGGACTGCTGAAAGTGGAGGGTAGGCAGGGCAAATGCTTAGGGCCTGTAAAGATGGAGCTTTCTTTTAGATTATCAAGTTTCTTGCACTTTCAACATCTTTATTATAATTTTATGAATGTACTGTCAAAAACCATATTGCAAAGTTACAGTACATTTATAACTATGAACTTTTGATAATTTCATTGGTATTGTAGTATCAAACATTTGAGCAATTTTTACTTGTTCTTGCATTGTAATGACTTATTACTTAGTATCTCTGTCTATATCCCCTTCACTTGTGTTAATGAATATAGTGTATTAATTATGAGGGATATTAATAAGCAAGTTGAAACTTCAAAGGAATAAGAGAAGGGGCCTGCATTGATCCTGGGGCTTGGCTTTGCTCAGAGTGGCCATTTTAATAACTGTTGGTTGCCCCTTTTATCTACCGAAAGGCTGTCCAGTTGAGCAGGCCTGATTGGTGGGCATGCCCATTGACAGGCACATGTGATGGGCACCCCCCTAATCTCCTACTTGTCATCGGAGGCGAGGCGACAGAGCCTGAGGCCCCATGTAGATCGCTCCTACCTTGGACTTCAGCCCTCCCCTTTACTAATTTTGCATGATATTTTCTTCTCACCTTCCCTTTTTTATTTCTCCTCATCCC